GCGGGGAATAGTCAAACAATCGATTGCAAGCCGCTCCTAGGGAAGAGAATCTGCACTTCGGATAAGACAACCATCAGTCTCTTACGCATACCTTTTGTGCAGAACGCCAGTAGCTAAAATGAGAGTAAGCTCGGCTTGTTGGGCTATCGACTAGCATACAATGAAGCGAGGACCAAATGATATGGTACAAAAATTTGCCTTACATGGTCCAGGTCCTGCAGGGGTGTGTGGGTGATGTCTGACAGCTGCACCACGTTTTGATGTCGAAAACGTTCTTAGAACATGATATTTACAAGTATGCAATCAATGAAAGAGTACGTTCCGCTACAATTTCAACTTACAGCAGCACCGCTTCATGACATGACCCGACTTCCCGCGAAACTTGCACTCCGCCTGCAGTCCGGATGCATGCTACCTGTCAAGACACGTCGCTCTAAAAGTTGGGGCCCGGGTGGAGACGCCCGCCCTCACCGTAAACCGCTTGTGCGGCAGCGGCTTCGAGACCGTCATTCAGGTGAGCGTCATTGTGGTCGACCCACGGATGGTTTGGATCCACCTATGGGGCTGGCGATTAAGTACATCGATAAGTAGATATTTGGGCAGATGTTTGCATAACTGACTTTAGGATCGTCCGAGTATGTGGTTACCAATATCCGCTGGGTAGAGAACAGTGCACGCCTTCCGCCCGGTGCAAGATCAGGGCTGGGTTGTTGCACAAGCATGCTGTTCATAGCGTCCCTATCCAACCTTCACTATCTCCACCTTCGGGTACCCCCTCTCTTCGTGTACACAATCATGTGTTACATATGTATGTTTGCGCTAGTAGCCTCGTTTCACGGATAAGGTAAAAACGAGCGGGTGGGCTTGCACTTTTTATAGACGTGTCAACCCGCAGCTGTGGCAGCAGCTGAGTAACACTGCTGAAGATAAGCGTCCGTTTGAGGTCACCTGCGTGTGCTCCTGGCTGTGTCGTGACACAGGGCGCATGCTTTTCATTTGCGGGCAAATGAATGCCTTCGTATGCTTTTTGACGGCGAGATTCGTTTGGATTTTCGTCGTCTTTGATGTCAGCCTTGACAGTGTACGGAGTCATCTTGCGGTGTGGTCAACCACCACCCCTCCCTTGCGGCCGGCCCACTCTATCGGACCCTGGTTTTTCGTGTTGTCTATCCACTGGAAACAGGGAGCCGAGGCGATCCAGCTTGGCAAGGCCTCCGTTGCGTTGTGCGCAGGTGCAGAAAATATGAGCTCAGCACCTCTGGTTGTCGCTGGAAATGATGCAAGGTGGGAAACGGATACTGTGGGTCGCCGGTACAGCAGTGCTCACGAGTGCAAGCACGGGCAAACGGACCTCGTGCAATCGAAATCTTGAAGCTAAATGAATTGGTTCAACGTTGTCGTGTTCGACGATTTAACTCGCCGGTCTAATACGTGAATTTATGTTGGGTAAACCAAAGGTGGGGTGTCGCTTTGGGGAGTGGTCTGAAGATGGAAGACAGCTTGTGGGCTGGCCTCACGGATTCTTATGCTGGGCTGCCCATGGGAATGACGGCTGAGAACCTGGGGGATAAGGTGCGTCTGCCTCATACCACGTGAACGCGGGAGGCGTAAAAGTTCTTGTCGATGCGACACACTACATACAGCAGTTCGATGTTCGGCAGTCTGTTTTGATAGGCCCTTTGTTCACTTCTGGTCTAGAACAGCTCTCAAGTTTCAAGCAAGCAGATTTCGTCATCGTGGTTCGGTGCTAGCGATTGTGCCTTGTGGCGCGCATCTCCGCAACCCACGAGAGGTAATCGATTAATTTTTTTTTGTGGATTTTGCGGTTGTCCGTGGCAGTACGGCATCACAAGGGAGCAGTGTGAAGAGTACTCCGTCCTCTCGCAGACGCGGTGGAGCTCAGGGAATGCCAATGGGGCGTTCACCGAGGAAATGGCGCCTATCGAGGTCAAGACCAAGAAGGGGCCAAAGGTGCGAGAAGTGTCAGTGACTCTTGTGAAGCGTTTCTCAGGTTTGGAAGCATGGATGCCATCTTCGCATCACGCCCAAGTTATACGGGCGGTTGCGCACAAGTACTGTCGAGGGAACGCCTTGTGTTTCTGGCAGACATGGAGGAGAACAGCGATCTCTCCACGCCAGGTATGTGCAGGCGCGGCGAATCGCGCCAACGGAGCAACACCCTGTGAGGACGGCGTGGGTTGAGGAGCATCCTTGAACCCGTCGATTGTGCTCTTTAAACCTGAGGCGCCATATTAGATAGTGTTCTGATGTAAAACAGTGGTCGTTTGCGACGAAATGCGATTCTCGAAGTGCTCGACTGAGTCGTAGTCGTTTAAAATGATACGTGTCGACACTTTCTACAGGTGGTGGATACGGACGAACACCCACGACCAAGTTCAGTTGAGAAAATTGCTGCGCTCCGTCCGGTCTTCAAGAAAGATGGCGTGGTAACGTCAGCAACCGCCTCCGGTATCTGCGATGGAGCTGGGAGGTCAGTTGGTGCATGTGTTTGGGCCACGGCAGTTGCTTTCTCAACTCATACCCGCACCCGATTGTACCCGAGGCGGCAGAAGGGACCAAACCTTTGGCACATCTGGCCCTTGTCGCGCTGAAATGCCCGGCATCTTCACATTTGGGGGCGCTGCCATCGGACACGATGTTCCTGATACATACCCATCGGAAAGGGCGATCAATTCATGCAAATCGCGGTCGTAGCTACTTCATCTGACCTCCCCCCTAAATTCCACGCTTGCCCATTTCAGCCTGCTGCTCGCAGGAGAATCGGCCGTCAACGAGAAACAATTGACGCCCCTGGCGCGTGTGGTGGCGACGCACGAGGTTGGGTGCGATCCCGCTATCATGGGCATCGGCCCCGTCAATGCTATCCGCGGCGCTCTACAGAAGGCGGGACTTACGCTAGCCGACATGGACCTCGTGGAGGTACGCTCCGTTGCATCTGTCGTTGGTGGCGCAACACGGGTACCGATATAATTCCAGATCGAAGAGCCTCTCGTGAACATGTGTCTGCGGGTGATTGACGCCGTAAAAAGCGAAAACGATGACATATCCATGACCATATCCAAGAAATCCTGGGACGACACACACACATCCAGCTGGAGCCTCAACGCTGTGCCAAACCACACATCGATAGACCAGGGAGCTATATCTATTTTCTACACCTTAATTTTGCTGGAACCAGAACTCGTCCAGTAATACTTCTGGATCTCGAGTCTGCCGAACCCTGTTCTCCTTCATTTATCCTAGCCGTCTTATTTGCAGTGGGGGATTTGTGAAAGCTGCGTGAACGAAGTGTAAATGTCCCGCCAACCCCAGAGTGACAGCCCACGCGGCGATGTGATGATAATATATTGTAGACACAGTTTTGACGGCAGCAACGTAGTTGAATTTTGCTGTCGCGTGTCTTCTACGTATGCTTTGTTGACCAACACAGGTCAACGAAGCATTTGCAGTTCAATACTTGGCCGTAGAGCAGGAGCTGGGGTTGGAACGTGGCAAGACTAACACCAACGGCGGCGCCATCTCGCTGGGGCATCCACTCGGAGCATCTGGGAGTCGTATTATGGCGCACCTCACCCACGAGCTTCGTCGCAAAGGATTGAAGTACGGAGTAGGGGCAGCTTGCATTGGCGGGGGACAGGGAATCGCTGTCGTCATTGAAAATGTTGCCTAGAAAGCGCTGGGGAGATATGGAGTCACAGCCCGATATGACACAGCACTATAGCCGCCCTCCATAAGTACCAGTTATTAGATGTAGGGCATGACGCACAGGTGAATAGAGTCATGTATATTTTCGTCAAATGAGTGCCCAATATGCTCATGTAGACTCGGGAAGAAATCAGTTGACTACAGGCACAACTATTTCGTACCTGGAGAGGGTGTGACTGCTCGCGGACCCCGCGGCGGGCGGGGTATGGACCAAGTGCTCAACAGCACGTCGGTGTTGTCTGTTCCCTCGCAGAAAGAAACATTCAATGTGTGCCGACGAGGGCATGGAAAGCATAGTGCCTGCGGCGAGAGGTAGTAGGCCACGGATTGAGGGTAATCACACCGCATCTTCTCAGCGGGTGAGAGATGAGAGTTGCGTCTCTTCCTCGCGCTGGCTCTCTTTGTGGCTAGATCGATCTTCATGTTGGTTGTCGCAGCACCATGTGCGTTTTGTGCACAATGTCGTCGTTCACCTGGGATAGTTCTCTTCGTGTAAAAATATTGAGTTGTGGAAAGTCGATCCACGTCCGAAGATCTCCCGATACACAAGCAGTCACGCGTTCGAGAAAAACAACCAACCAAATGCCCCCGCGCACACCAGTTTTCACAAGCCGTATCGTGCTTCCAACGCTGCTGAGTGCTTAGCGCCAACTGCAGCGATACGGCACGAGTACGCGATTACATCAAGCAAGGCAAGATTATTTATCTCCTCTCCGCATTCGCAACAATATCAGGTGGTGCCTGGACAAGCTCAATCAACACCCCTTCCCCAGAGAGGGGATTATTCACGTCCCCTTTTGGGTGAATAAAAGCCACATCGTGACCAGAGGCACCCTGTCTAATGCCGCCGGGAGTGAAACGCATTCCTTGCCGTGTCAGCCATTCCACGCACTCCGGGAGTGGATGAACCCACAGCCCGATGTGGTTGAGCGCGGGAGTCTGCACCCTGTGAAGCAACGAGGGAGGAAAACAACCACGCGTGCGAGTTGCCAAGACTCTCAGACTCCCCGTCGCAGGGTCGATATTGCACACAATGTTCATTCATCTGATGAACGGATTGTGTTGTGTCTGAGTCATGGCTCACCTTGGAGGTTTTGTGGGATCAAGGGGTTCCATCAGGTCGATCTCGACAGTGTTCAGACCATGCCCGAGCTTCAGGATGTCCTCGCGGACATTTTCCTTCTGCTCCCAGTGCCGTGCACGGAAACAAAAACACAGCATGCGCACGTCCAGAAGATGAGTGGCAACACTGCTCGAGACCTGCTGAAGGCTCAAGTGACTGCTTCGATCCCCGACGAAATACGACAAGGCATGATGATAGGGGTATTCTCTAAACATTGCGTGTACAGCTGACATTGCAGAGAGAGGGAGCGGCAGAGCAACGCGATCGTTGCTCTCAGAGTAGATAGCAGTTTTGGTTGTCCCAACGCTCGCTGGGTTCGCACGGACAACTCAGATAGCGAGCGGGTGCTGGTTGAGCATGAGGGCACAACATAATATTCTGCAATGACCGACGAAATCCTTCTGCGAGAAACCAAAGAGGCATCTACCATGTTCAAATAATGTATTCCCACGGGGGTGACAAAGATGAAACGTTAGGGAACAGATAGCACTCGATCGAGTCGTACGTCAGACAGGCGCAACTCAACGCGAGTGCGATCGTGCAGCTGTCAATGGAGTGCCGTACATGTGTAGTTATCCCGTGTCTTCGAAGTCAAAGTGTGACAATAGTATCTGCTTAACATACCTGAAGCGCACGGGAAGCCTTCTTGCGGCACAATGCAACTTAGTTCGAGGGGGAATTCGCCGAACAGCAGAGTGCCTGGGTACCGCCCTGGGGCGCCCGCTATTATGACAGGAAGGAAGGGCATCATGTCAATTCCGCTAGGGGTCAATGAGGACGGGAGGTTGCTGCACGGAGTGTGCAATACAAGCTCAGTAACGAAATGAGGTGTTGTTACTTTTCTATTTACCTCAGCGAGCTCCACGGCAACAAGGAGTACACTCAGGCTACATACTCTGCTGCATGCTATCTCGAGGCTTCTTGCTCGTTTACCTTGCTCTCGTACGACCCGACCTTCTCCACCCCAAGCGTGTCACTCCACAGCCGTACCAAGGCCTGTCTTTGGAGAAAACAAGAGTCATTCGACGGACACGGGGGGAGGAAGAGGAGCCTACGTAGTATTACAAAACAATATCCCGGCGATATCTAAGATCCAGCCCCCGACATATATGTAGCCGACTCAGAGCAGAACTTTGTTGTTCCCTGCAATCAGAAGAGGGGCATCCAAACCGTAGGCTCACACAATTGTATACGAATCCCAAGATCGTGCAATCAACACCTAACGTGTCACCGCATTGAGTATTACAGCGGTATACCTTCTTGTCCAGTCCGCCGATGGCGACCTGCTGCAGCCCCAGAATCTTGAATGGTCGCTCCTATTGGTAACGACGATGGCATCGGCGTCAGCATCATGCCCGCATCCCCGGGGTTCTTTGGCAGCTCGGTCCGCTCTCGTCACTACCCTTAGTTGTCTCGTTGTTGTTCAATCAAGAGTGGAACAACTACTGCTGAGTACTCCCGTAGCTCCTTGACCTCTCTCTCTGCTGATATATCCTCATGTGCAGTGGGGCAACATGTCACTTCACCTCACGTGTACCGAACCACCTCCTCATCATGCAGGCGGTAGGTTGTCCCGACTGCATATGCAACAGCGGCTGATATACATGGTCTCGGGCCCGAAGCTGCCAAAAGCAAGGACAACACAGCACCCGCGTAACACATGATCACTTCAATAATACGCATCAGCAAAGCAACAGTACACAGCAGCGTCTAGGCATGTTGTACAACCTATTCTAGAGCTCCAAGAAGGCGATCTGATAGATGCGCTGTACATCGACGTGTGCTCTAGCTTCCCCATGAAAGTACTGCAGTGGATCAGCCAAGCAGCCAATACTGCTGTACCAAGATCGATCCAAAGAGCCAGCGCGTAAGATGAGCCGCAACTCGCCTGTAGAGAAGATGCGGTGTGACTTGTACCGGCAATCCGTAGCCTGCTAGCTCTCGCCGCAAGCACCATACTCTCCATGCCCTCGCTTCACGTCGCTTCGCGGCAAACCTTAAATATGCCTTCTCTATGCAAGGGAGCAGGCAACACCGACGCTGGGACGTAGTGCCCTCGGGCTCTGGCACTCCCCGGGGGGTCCGCGATCAGGAATTATCTCTCTCGCAGGTACACAGCAGTAGTCAGACCAAGGAGGCGTTCTGTCGTTGATTCAAATTTGAAAATTGTCACCTTTCACCCTCGGAGACACGCGGGTTAGCTACACACATCAGGCCCTGCAACCCTGGAAACAACAACAGTAGTCCCCAATATTGCATACAGCACACGAAATAGCTATGTCGAGGGGGGATGCGAACTTCGAAGCAGTGCTCGCTGGCCTTCTCTCCCACGACAACGCCGTGCGGAAAAACGCTGAATCTGTCTACAACAAGGAGCTCGAGACACAACCGGCGGTAATTGCCGGGCAGCTCTTGCGATGCCTTGCGAGCGCACAGGTGAATCGACCGCGGTTATTCAACGAAAAGACAGCTTTCTTGCTGCAGGTTGAATAGGTTATGACGGGCTCGGGTGGATTGTCGCCATGACTGGGGAGCAATTAACTTCTCAGCAGTACACAACGCCCCCCTCTATTATATTTGGTGTGTTCTTGAGGTGTTCTTGTGGAAGGTAACGGCTCCGTGGTTTGGACCCCTGTCCTTCCCCCTCCCTGCTGCTCTCCCGTGGCACAAGCAACAGCTCCATCATCTCATCTCATTGCCCCTCTTCCTCTCCCGTTATGTTCTGTAGGCTGAGGTCATCCGGACGACTTGCGCCGTGCTAATCCGGCGTGTCGTCGTGCCGTCGGGCCCATACTGGTCTCGTCTGGACAGCGCGACTAAGACTGCCCTCCGCGCGGGCCTTCTTTCGGCTATCGGGAACGAGACATCCAACCCTGTCGCACGCAAGGTACAGCTGTATAAGTGCTGTATAAACGACACATGGGAGAAGCTAACCAATGAGCGTTAGAATCTAACTCCCAATGTCTACCATGCATAGCATCAGAGCAGCCAAATGCAAAACCTGCTAACACGGCGCCAACTGCTACTGCTTGTTGCGGCAACAGATCTGCCATGCCGTTGCGGCGTCGGCCTCGCCAGATGCAGGGCCGTGGCCGGAGCTCTTGCCAGCGGTAGTCTACACTGCACAGGTGATTTTTGCTGAGTGGCCTCTATAAGAACAACGTTGGGACAAGAGGAACAATGTAGCTTTAGCCGTCGGACAGGAAGCGTTTCGGGCGTTCCAAACTCAAGTCGAAATTTGAAATTTATTCACCCGACGGTAGGAAAACAAAGCAATTGAAAGTGTTGCTCAGTACCATGGCACATACAGCAGCAGATTGTGAAAATTCAGCAGTTGATGCTTTGGAACCGCCAATGCGTAGCGCCAAAACGAATTCCCTAACAGTATTCCCTCAATTCCGGTCTCCGGCCGGCGTCATGTAACCCCACCGGATTGCTTCTAAACAACCCCCTCTTTGAATCCCGCCCCGGGTGCTCATGTTGAACATATGTACACTTGTTTCCATTCGCTGAGCCGCTGCATCGTGTGTGTGCGGTCAACTCTATCCAGTCGGCGGAGCAAAGCAAGAAGACGCTGGCGTTCTTCCTCTTAGGGGCGATGGCGGAGACTTCCCTCGATACCTTGTCGGGGCAGGCATCGTCGCTCATGCAGGTACGTCGGTACTGGCCTGCCTGTGACTTGCGGATGTTTCCTGATTTGTTTATGCATACAGGCGTCAGTGGTTTCCCGCCGCTTTCTTCTATTGGTGAAGTTCGCAACTGAAGGTGTAAGTTCCACTGCCCTATTCATTCATGCTTTGGAACATACCGGCATGGTTGTATTACCATCGCATGGCGCCCTCCCTTCAGTTGCTGATTTCCCCCCCCCGAAATGCATTTGTGGATTGTATGACGCGCTGCAGATGTGCGCCGAAGCATTGTCAAACCTGTCTCAGCTGGCGACTGCCTCCGGCGCCTTCAAGGCCGCGGCCGCCGTGCTTCAAACCATCGTGGACGAAACGGAGCAATCTGCGTTCCATGCGATCCTTCCGCAAATGCTTCAGGTCAGGCATGTCGTGACGTGGCTGTTTCATGGCCAAGGCAGGACTGTTTTCGTATAGCCTCGCCTGGGAATCGAACACACACACATACATCTTTCGGCTCTCGACGTACTGTAGATCCCGCAGCTTTATCCTGATGGCCAATGTTGTGCATCTCTATCGGGTGGTGTTTGTGCAGGTGCTAAGTGCAGTGTTGTCGGCTGGAGAGGAGCTGGAGGCCCAAGAAATGCTCGAGTCCCTCGTCCAACTGGCCGACGTCTCGCCCTTGTTCTTCAGGACTAGTGTGGTCAGTCAGTACGAAAGATGGTACGAAAGATGACCCCGTGTCCTTCGTCAGTGGTTCACTGATTTCAAGTCCGGTCGGCACCCTTGAGCTGAAGCTTCTGAAATAGTGCGAAACGCCTCACTTGTATGTCAGTCGCGCCTGGTTCTAGATCTTACAAACACGGATCCCCCCCCCTTTTTTTTGACCAGGCGCCCTTGTCGGAGGCAATGCTTGCGGTGGGCTCGGCGTCTCAGCTAGAGTTTTGCACCCGCGCCGCTGGTGTGGAGGTGCTTCTCAGTCTCGCCGAACGCGCGCCCGCGATCATGCGCCAGTGCCCCTCGATCGCGTCGGGCGTGCTACCTCTCGCTATGGCGTTGACTTGCGAGGTGATGCTATGAATTTGTCGCCGCTACAAATGCACAGGTGTGCTGCATGGTTGAGCTTCAGGCGCCAACAGAAATGGCGTACCCAGCTGTCCCGTGGGAAGGAACTCAAAGTAGTTTGTTACTAGGGTCGTTTTTTCTCCGTTTTCTGTAACTCACGATTATCTTTTCTTACGTCGCTCCGCTTGTCCCGTGACCCACCCCAGCTGGACGAGGACCAAACCGACTGGGTTGCCGGTCCGTACGATGACGACGTAGATCACGACGAAGAGGCTGCATACGGCGTTGAGGCCATGTGTCGAATCATTGCCGCTCTGCACGGCAAAGCCACGATGCCAACGACCTTGCAGCTGGTGCCCGAGGTACGCGCACAGAGCCTGTTCTGTCTGTCTGTCTGTCCGTCTCTCTGCGGTGTGACGTCGACGAGAAGCCTCGTGAAGGCATGCATGGCTTTTTGGGAACTGTAAATTGACATCACTCCCTTTTTTTTTTGCGCGCTTCCACAGTACCTAGCAGGAGCGGATTGGCGGCAACGGCGGGCTGGTCTCTGTGCTTTGGGTGCTCTAGCGGACAGCGCCACCAAGGCATTTAAGGTGACTGTGACGATGATGGTCATAGTGATGACATCGATTATCAGAGCATATGAATTGCCGCTGCACGCGTTTATAGAGAGTGCGAAGTGATCATCACAACAGCAAGCGGAGATGGAAATCTCGTGTCGAAAGTTGACGGCGGGGGGCGTGCGAAGCTTGAGCAGCAAGCGGCACGGCACCTGTGACAGGACTATTGCTATAACCTATAACCCATAACCTATAACCTATAGCATGTACGCAAGATCAGGGCTATAGCTTTCGCCTAAGTTGGCACTCAGTTTGGTGGTTGCCCTCTTTTGGACTGGAACAGGATCACCTGCCGTCCGTCGCCGAAGCTGCTATCTCTGTCTTGATGGACCCCAGCCCACGAGTGAGGTTCCAAGCGCTGCAGCTCACCGGAAGACTTAGCGATCTATACCCCGCAGACTTCCAGGTGAGACTCGCATACTAGCACAGTATACACCTAATTGGAACAAGTTGTAGCCATGCCGGAGTGGTTGCCAATTGCTCAGCAGATATTTACCCTTGTGTTATACCGGCAACTTGACAGCATCCCTCTGGGCTGGTTTCATGTACACCTAATCGCGTCTTGGTTGTTGGCAGGGTGTATACCACGAGAAGGTGGTCCCCGCGGTGTGCGGACTGGTGTCCGGACCCTCGCAGCCTGTCCGCGTCCGCGGGCACGCGGCAGCAGCCATCGTCAACTTCGTCGACACGGAAGACGTCCCAGAGGAAGCCGTCACCCCGCACTTGGACGCTCTCCTTTCGGCCCTCTGCTCGTGCTTGAACGGGGGCGTGCCGCAGTCTGTTCAGGTGCGTGCGTACATTTCTCCGTGTGCTCGTGCTGTGTTTGTGTGTCAGCTCTGAATCTGTGATCGACAAGCATCCGTAAGCGCGCCGATAGAAAGAGACTCGTCAAAGACTATCCTTCAATCGTAGCTGACGTAGTCGCTTGATATTGGTCTATGTGCAGTTTACATGTCTCCGACGGGCAGCCCCCACCCCCCCCCTGTCACCGTTACTTCAACAAACCCTTTTGTTCCGACCCATGTTTCCTCGTTCGAGCAGTGCCGTGCCCTAACTGCGGTGGCGTGTGTGGCAAAGACGGCTGAAGCGAAGTTCGGCAAGTACTACGACTCGTTTATCCCGGGCATCAAGGAGATCGTCCTGGCGGCCGCCCCCAAGGCTGGCACCGATCCTCAGGTGCGTTGGGTCACCAGCGAACGGTAACTTCTCCAAAGGCGAGTAGCGTACAAGGCGGTGGCTTCGCACGGGTCGGCGCCTTGCAACGCGCGGTAGTCAGGACTGCTGCAATTCCGAGTTTCGCATGGGCCATCTGTCCCACGTGTATCACTCCCGACACATGGGCATCCGCCTAAGACCCGCCGTCCGATTTCCCCTTTGACTTTTGTCGGTATTTCTGTGGAGCAGAACGACTTGCTCCTGGGGCAGGCCATGGAATGCGCAGGGATGATTGGAGAGGCGGTGGGCAGGGCCCGCTTCAAGTCTGATGGATTGGCGATGATGAGTACTCTCATGGTGAGATCACCAACGGCATCCTGTGCGTCAAGTCAAGCCCTGGGTGTTGACCAATGTACAATGTGCAAGCACGTTTGCGTTGTAGTTGCAGTTTGCCGCAGTGCGTGCCATTTCCCTCATAGGCAAGACTTGAGGTAATGCCAATTGTTAGGGTTGCAAGATTGACGGATATCGCTACCTGCGGGTCTTCGACTCTTATCTTGTCTACTGGCGTTCCCTATCTCTTTTTTTGTCTCTCCTCCTGCTTTGGCAGGAGCGACTCGGGAAGGGTGGCGTGGATGGGCAAAGCCAGTTTATCTTCGAGCACGTGGCCCCCGCGTGCGGCAATCTGTGCCGCGCACTGGGAGAGGACTTCGCCATGTTCCTGCCCGTGGTACTGCCTCCTCTCTTCGCGGCTCTTGAGGAGGAGGTGAAGTTCAGCATGGAGGCGGCAGACCCGGATGACGACGGGGAGGTGAGACGGCGTGTTTCGACTACGGCACTGTTGTAGCGTTAAGGTTGTCACCGGGGGCGTCTCTGTCTGCGAACTGCTGCATTTCCTTCTTTTGTCAGGAAAAATAGGCTTGATGCACACGTGTAATCGTACCAACCCTTGAAGCCGCAGTGTAGAGAGTAGGGTGTACGCGAATGTGCTGATCAATGATCAAAGTACAGCAGTACTAGTGCTAGGAGCTCAGAACGTTATGTCTGACGGTTCTTTCCGTGCGAAACGATTCTTGCTGGGAAACAGGAGTGCGTCACGGATGAACAGACCGGCACACAGACAGCTGTCCTGAACATCCGAGGCCTGGGTGCGCAGCGCGTCACCCTCAGCACGTTCGCCATCGTGAGCAAGCAAACCGCTGCACGGTGAGCGAGCTTCTACACGACTTTTTGTCAGTCTTATGTATGCCGCGGCTGATTTCGTTTCCGCAAGAGCAAGACATGCCGTGTTCTAACTCTGCACCGTGAGCGTGCCCTTAAGCGGTTGCAGCATCATCGTTTTTGTCCGTTTTATGCGACCGCACGCAACTCTGTACAGGCTATTGTTTGAGTACGCCGGTGCCCTGGAAGGAGCGTTTCTCCCCCACGTACCGGCCTCCGCCTCGGCTCTCATCCCAGCGGTCACTTTCCGGTTCAACGAGGAAGTCCGCTCTGCCGCCGCCCTGGCCTTGGCTAAGGTTAGAAGCGTTCCGGAAGGCATTCTTGAAAGCCATCGTCACTTTTGTTTGCCGGGGATCTCCCGATTTTTTCGTTGCGTCTATTGAAAGCTGGCAGCTGAGCAGTTGACACCACAAATCATGAGTCTAACGTCAATTGGCCTGTCTTTGATTCATGTCGTTACTTCATGTCGTTTATTGATGTCGTTTCCTCGCACGAAGACAACGTATGGCAGCTTTCCGAACTGGTTTGTGCTACTGTGGCAGGGAATTGACCATGACACGTGGACCATGCGCGTACGACCACTGTCTTGGGGGTGACTTCCTTGGCATCGATCGCTCTTCCGGCCCTTCCCTTTTGTCTTGATGAAAATCAGGTATATACTAGCTCGCTGCAGGCAGATGTGTCGATGGCGTCTCAGCTGCTCTCTCCTTGCATCACCGTGCTTCTGGAGGGTCTGCAGGGGGAGTCCCAGGACGAGGTACAGTACGGTAGGGATGGTGCATGGCCGACCCTTTTAGAAGTCGGAGGTGGTCGTTTGACACGTTCGTTGCCTTGACCACCGGGCCGAAAATGTCCGGCTTCAGCAGCTCCGACACAGCAACAGTTCCAGCACGGCAGTTCTGACGTTTCGTGCACGCGGCAAATGCAGAGAATGTAGTTCAGTTGATTCGCAACCCTTGTTGGCGCTATCGATGCGGATAATGGCTGACAGAGTTCGAACGGCATATAAACTAAAGCGTTCGGGTTTTGGGCCCCGATTTGTCATAGGCGCATCATACCTCGCTCATATCCTGGCGTACTGCTTGGCTCTCTTGTCCCTTAGGCACGCACCTGCATGTCGAGCGCGCTACGAGATGTCCTGTGCGCTTGCTACGAGAGCGGTGGTACGGACGAAGCCACCGGATCGCAACTATCACCCAAGATGCAGGTACGACGGTCCATTTCTTGAGTCTCTTGCCCTCACGTTGCGCTTACCTGTCCCTGTTCCGCCTGAAACACTTCAGACACGGTGCTGAAAGTGAGTGGTTCGTGGAGTACGTGCAGCGTACGAGGTGCTGTGTATCTGCGTTGGACCCATTCGTCTCACTGCAGCACCCTAAACACGGCGGTCTTAACTCCGTCTCCCGCCGAAACTTCCCTATCCAGGCGCCCATGGAGGCAGCTGCCGCCATTTCAGAACAGCTCGTGGTGCGAGTCAAGGCAAGCTTGGAGCGCCGCGTTGCAAAGGAGGCTGAGTTCGAGGGCGAGGGTGCCTGGGACGAGGAAGACAACGATCTCCTCGAGGAACAGATCGCGCCGGAAGAGGTACATGCGTGCTTAACTCGAGCGGTGCCGTTCTTTTATGGTATGGTATGCCTTTGTACCACTTTGGACCGCACAAGTGCACGTGCTAGTTACGTGCCGTGGGCCATGGTCAGTCGGCTGCTGCATTCGCAGCTACCAGCATGATATTGGGAGAATAACGTCGTCCGCACCCTGCCTTTTCCATGACCATTTGCAGGAAGTGATGGAGCACCTCGTAGACTCGCTGGGTTATCTCCTCAAGGGGCACGGCCCTGCCTACCTCAATGTATTCGACACGGTCACCGCTCCTGTCTTCGGTGCGTTGCTAGAGAGCTCGCAGCCCGTGTCCCTGAGGTGGGTAATATGATCGTTCATGAATATGTTGTATTGGGAACATGCTCGCAGTCGTTAGTCTTGAGGGATATTGCCAGCGCGTTCTCACAGCCAGCCTTACCTCAGCCTTCTTCCACGCCTGAAGTTCGCCCTCCAACGGTCAAGCGAGCTGAGACCTTAACAGCAGTGATTTCACTACCCCCCATGGACGCACCCATTATTGATACGTACCCTCCTTTACTAATCTCTAGCTGGTTCTGTACATGTGCTCTTTCGCAGGTGGAATGCCGTCTGTGTATTCGACGACTGCGTCGAGCACTGCGGAGAGGGGGCGCACAAGTACCTCCCTGCTTGCTTCCCTGCATTCATGGCAGGAATGATGGAGGTACTACCGAAAACCCCGCAATGGACGCCTTATCTCTGTTGCAGGGAGGAGACACTTCTTGTATCGTCCTCGACGTCGGTAGACATTTGACAAATTCACGCTCTTCGCTTTGCACCAACACCCAAAACTGTCGGCGCGTTGCGTGGCAAGGTGTACATAATAATCAACTACAGTGTGTATCTCTTCCACACCACAAAGACGCATGGTCCATCGTCTTCTCGACGTTCGGCAAGGATTCCGTGTGAACTACACGGTGAATACCGATTGGATATTTCAAAGCGCTACGTTCAGATTTGATCTTTTCCGCACCGAGACGTCCAACGTTCAGTACATCCCTCCGTGCACTCTTTCTGCTCGCGACTCTGGACCGTCGTTGCCTTCGTTTGATTTCCACAGGAGTCGAGCCCGACGTTGCAGATGGCATCGGTGTACGGCGTGCAGCAAACTGCCAAGCACGCGCCTGCTTTCATTCTGCCGAGGGTGGCGGAGGTATGTATGTGATAATCTGTCTGCATGTCGTTTGTCTCGACACAGTCGCATGGACAACGTCTTGTCAAAATGGTTGCCGTCTGCGTCCACGATGAGTGCTGAACATCTTCCCAATCTCTCAACGCGGTAAGGACTTTTTCCCCCAAGCTGCTTTTTGTCGGCAACTCGAAAAACTCGCCGATACACTTTACAGAAGACGCTGCCCGATTGAAAGTAGAGGTAGCCCGTTGTATTGGTATCTAATCCGGCTGATGTTATGCTGTAACCCTCCATACTCCTCCTCTCTGTTGCACCGTCAGGTCGTACGGCACCTCGTGCACCTCATCAACCGTCCTGATGCGAAGGACGAAGACAGCCTCCTAGTCACCGAAAACGCCGTCGCAGCTCTCGGGACGTTGTGCGTGTCGCCCGCGCTGTCCTCGGCAGTGGATCGATCGCAGCTTCTTCCGCTCTGGTTGTCCCACCTCCCTCTCAAGGAGGTACGTTGTTGCACGGCATGGATGCCCCTCGATCCCGCGTTGGAGTGGTTGCATGTTTTCGGTGCGTTCCGTGAACCTGAAGGCGTTGGCTGTGCGCTTTGGCTCTCTGGCACGATCCAGTTGGAGGCGTCGCTTGTTTTCGAACGGTTCGTGTCCGGAAAGCTTCGTCGAGTCCAACATGGGAAGCTGCCCTCTCACCATCGCTTGGTATTTTCGTCTTTCAACAGGATGAGACGGAGGCCCGCGTCGTCCACAGAACGCTCTGTGAGCTTGTGGAGCAGCAAGACCCAAGTCTGCTCGGTAGCAACCTGGGGAAGGTGCGTTGGCTTACGTTAGATCGGTTTCCACTTGTGCCACCATCCTCTTTGTACGTACTGTATCACGACCTTATTCAATTGGTTTTGGCGTGTGGACCGTGTACACCCGCCCTTGTTTTCTGTTCGGCACGATTCCGTGCGACCCCTCACGAAACACAATGGCCGACTTTTCCCCACCAGGCTACACGTTGGCCGATGAAATTTTTCTGCATTTGACTGGCTTGAACCCATTATTTTTGACGAAAAAATGTTTTTGCTCTCACGTATCCGCGTTGGTCACTACGGAATGGTTCGACAGGTTTCTCTCGTGGTCAGCGTACTGGGTCAGATCCTGGAAGCGTGCTTGCTCGACCCGGACTTGGCAATCGTGGATGCTACAACGGGTCGTCGCATGGGTCGCATCCTTAACGGAATGCAAACGTCTTACCCTACGCAAGTAATGGAGAAGGCCTGGGGAGGCTTGACGCAAGGACAAAAGGCTGCCATCCAACAGGCGTGTTCCTGACCCATGATCACTACTGCTGTGGTAGTTTCAGCCCTTAATCAACGTGCCCGTTTTGAAGAAGTGCTCATGGCAACATTTTTGGTTCACACTGTTGCCATCTATACCTAAGGGCGTTTGTTCCAAGCATTGCAAGGATTCGCCCATCACCGCCTTGTCGCTTCACTCGATTGTTGAATTTTTTCAAACATGTAAACAGCAGGTAAACACTTCGGTACCCGGTCGATTGGAGGCTCACGGCGCCTCATGTTTATTTCTTCGTTCTTTCTTTAGGTATTCAGTGTGTTGGTGTTTTTCGTGTTGCTGCTCTCTTTGGGCCTCTTGTCTCGTATGATTGTGGTGATGGGTACACATACACGTGGTAAATATCGTTAGAGCTGCGATTAGCTTCTCCTGACTGGGGCTATGACTAAGCGGCAAGGGGATTGTTGGAACAGTGCCGCTGCACATAGAATTTTGACTTTTCTGCCGTTACTGAGCCCAGCACGATTTCGCAAGCAAGAAGGACAACGTTTCAGGGCCCCGAAATTCCCGCTGCGCATTTTAATCGAATGGCAACCCGGCCGCTACCGTGGCTAGAGCATCTTAATCAAGTGAAAAATATGACACACTCATTGCTTGTCAGAACGCCGCACAGGGGTGTTTACGCTGGCACTTGAGACCGTAAAGACAGTGTGAAGCGAAAGTTGCAATCCTCTTGCGAAGACAAAAGACCAAAATATCCACCCACAATTTTCACAACAAACAACGGCCTGCAAGCGGCGTACAACTTGACGTGTATCTAAAACCCTGCCCCCCGCTCCGCCCAAACTTTACCCACGTACACACATTTGTCTGTAGAACGCGCTGTAGAACGCGCTACCCCACCTGAGAGCCTCTTGTGTCGCCCGAGGGCCGTTTCGCATTTTCTATGCGGGGTTCCTAATTGAGCACCTCTTCTTAAGGGCAAGCGCACTCAATTTCTAACTCTATTTTATTGAGTCACAAGTTATCAACTCCCAGGTTCTCTCTTTACCCGGCCTCGATAGGATTTTATCGACGTGAAGACTCGCCAATGCATACGTGGACCTGCCAATTGGTCTCAACATACATGACGACCCGGCTCATGAACACAATACCCTAGGCCTGTTTCGTTTGTTCAACTGTGAGCAGCCAAATGCAATGGAACCCCGTTCTCGCAGCCACAAACGAACACCTGTGTTTCTCTCAAGGAAGATCACTGGGCTTGCATGCAAACGACGGAATTGCCAAAGAACGACTGCAAGAGGGATCCAACAGCGCGTTCCGCCTTCAACACCATGGGAATTTCGTTTGCAGGTGCAATAGCAAACCCGTTCTTTTCGTAGAAAGGCACCGTTGATTCCAGCGTAAGTAGGTACAGGTTTCGGATCTGTCCGGCGTCAGCAAGAGGCACGCACGAGCGACAAGCGATAGTGGTGGGGAGCATGCATCAATAGGGAAAGAGAAAACAATATCCGCAGAATATGTCGACCATGCCCTGCACCTGATGTGTTAAGAATTGTACGTTTTTGAAATTTCGCCGCAGGTGCGTTGAGCAATCAACGAATTGCGTGCCACAAATGTTTTCTCTCTTTCACAACCTGTTGCACATGAATGAAGCACGAATCAGCTGTTGCTATTTGGTTTCATGATTGATATATATATCCATACACTCTAGCTGGAAAGAAACAACTGCTTCCAACAGCTGAGCAGAGAGGTCACCTCCCACTTATGATACCTGTCCTTCTCCGTGTGTTGACACGTAGCCAGTCACGAGTTGCCGCACGATGCTACTCCCAATCCCACGGCCCCGATAGGGTTCATCGACATGAAGACTCGCCAATTCATAGTTGGACCCGCCAATTGGTCTGACCTTGNGGGGGGGGGGGGGGGGGGGGGGGGGGGGGGGGGGGGGGGGGGGGGGGGGGGGGAGGGCGATAGGGGTTTTCGAGGGCAATTGTGCTGCTATACCCAGCACTTGATGACACCGGCACGGAAAGCAGAGTGGTGCACGATAGCCGCAGCGGGAGCGTTCGGCGGGCGCTTAAACTGCGAATTCGAACCAGCATGGGGTCTCAGTCTGCAAAATGTAAACGGACTGAAAGGTCAAGGAAATATAACAAGATTTGCTCCCACATTTGACGAGCCAACCAAGCAAAGCTTGGAGCCACGCAAAGCTTGGAGCCACGCTGATTATCGGGGAAAGAAAGTCTTCGATATATCAAAAGCTTCCGCTGACGCTATGAATTCACTGTTAATATATCTCAAGACTATTTTCTATGGATAGAGATGGCTTTCTTATATTATTTTAAAAAAATAAAAAAATAAACACAGCATTCAACCTCACATAAATTCGCAACGGTCTCTCAGAGCCCCTTGAATGGCACGGGCTTCGTCACTGGGACTGCCGTATGCATACGCGAGAAAGCATTGAAAACTATGTAAGTAACTCGGATACGTCACCACACACATCTTGCGTGTTGTATGCATTTTTGCACATATCCTCCCGCCTGCCTAGTCTTCTTGTCAGTTCCCCCGGTATTTTGGCCCCCCTCACATGATCAAATGACACCACCATACGGCAGAACATGCTACCAATATGCAGCATTTAGGCCGCAGACGAAGCACGCTCCTCACCTGACCAAACCCAACGAGAGCCCCCTCTTGTTCAGCGCAAATGAAGTTGCTCATATCGACAGACATAGGATTCATCAGCATTCCAACAAGGATTTTCTGTATAGTGCCTTGCTCCGTTTTCGCCGGCGGGCGAAAATGCAGCTCGCTGGGTGTGGTCGGCTCGTGTGAAACGTACAACCGGCAGGTAGATGCCGAAGGGACCGGTAACATGATCTGCGAGAAAGGAGGCGTCAAGAAGGCAGATGCCACCCCTAGCCAAGCAATGAGATTGAAGATAAGCTCATGTTGCATGGTACGTCTGTAGCGTTTTGCCTTCTCTCTTTGCTTTCCTCCCCTTGTTTGTCTTGCGCACTGATGAAGGTCAACTTCAATACTCCAAATCTCGCTCCCTGCCAGATGGCCGATGACCAATGACAGTGCTGCCAAAGCAGCACGCCTCCCTCCATTTGTTCACGCATCCCTTCCCCCCCCCCGTGTGTGTGTGTCGTCAGTTGTCAGCGTGCAACACATGTGCCACCTAACTGCCATCGCCAAGATGTATGCCAGTTCTTCGTTCGTTGGTGGGTGCCTGGCTAGTGTGCATTATGTTCTAGGGTCGTACAGTCATGGCGTTGCAACCAACTCGGCTCAATTAATTGTCGGTAAATTGTACGTGCAATAGGACGGCCAAGGACGCCGGCGGAATTGCTGTTCATGTGAGACACAGCAGCACTACACAGCAATAGTGACGAACTAAGGGCAACAAAGGTCACCCCTCATGGCAAAGACTGGTTCTTCATGCATAAGGGCTTTCGCTAATGATCGGTGCCGTTCATACAAGCCTTGGAACTAAAAAAACGTGAGAGCCATTGCCGTCACTTGTCCTTGCCTCGACGATGCCGCCGTGTGGTTTTTTCGGGTTTTAATGGTTACTTGGCAAGCTCTCAACTGCGCATATTTAAGGCTTAATTAGCAGCATTATCTGTCGACTAACACGAAGGTTCGAGTAAACGGACTGTTTGTTCAATACTGGAGAACATTGCCGTAGATGATACCTGTAGTGTACCTCGAGACGAAACGTGGCGTCCTCCCCAAGCCTTGCCTCCTCATATGCAAATAAGAATGGATGTTCACAGAGTAGAAACGCTCCGCGGAACGTTACTATTTTAACATCATTATGACGAAGCTGAAGCGGAGCAATATTTTGACGTTTTGCAAGGTCACGGAGCGGAACGGTACTGTTTGTCCGATGGCAACACTCTCACGAAGTGGTGATTTTGTGGAAACATTTAGTTTAGGTTTCAGAGCTACTTCATGCTCCATAGTACAATCAAGTAAAGGCACGAAGCCGCGGCCTTAGTGACGGTGCAGTGTCAGGGAAACACCGCCGAAACCACACAGATATCCATAGGAATTAACCGAGCACCCGCGAATTGTGATATTCTCAGGGTTCCGTACACATCGAAATAATATTGCAGCGCCCCTCGTTGAGGCCGGCAGCGACACCGTCCGCCGCTTCGTTACCAGAAAAAAGCCCAAACAAATGGAAAAGCCATCAAATCATCTCTCGTCTGATTGTGTTCTCGCGCAGTAAATACCTTTGCCCACATCGATACCTACCTGATGACCAATACGCTCCTGCAACAATCCTGTACAACAGCAGCTAGTTACGTTCCTTTCCATTCTGCGTGCATGCGGTTAGGAGTCTGTAGCCGTTGTTTATAGGTCCTCGTGTTCTCATCACTCACTTACTAAAGACCATTTGGGCACCTTATGCCATTCTGCTGCACTCACTCAGATTCGCCCTCGACAAACATACCCAGCTAGCTTTTTCAACTGACGGGCTTCCCAACTCACAGTACTGGTATGCTGTTATTTGATATGCAGGATGCCCGCCGAGTTGGACCTGAAGAATTCGGTTTGGCGTCATTCTCTGCCGACGTGTACACGGTCCACAGATCGGAGTAGTCTCTCTGAGAGGCAGCTGGTGCTATCAACGCTAAGTAATTGAGGACTTGGCGAACAAGCATGAATATTGAAAGAATTGCATGGACTGCCGGCATGTGCCACAAATCGTGGTTCGTATGCGTTTCAAAGTTCTTTGTGGCGCTTTCGCACCACCGCCCACATTGAGCGATCCCGAGGCAATGGTCAATACAGGGTGCAGAGGCCAGGCAAGGTGAAAATGCTCTCTCACCAATGCTGTGTTGCATTGTGTTGAACGGAGAATACACTTGATTGAAGGATCAGGCCGGGCGCTGCATCTAGACTACATGTATCTTCAGTTGGAAGAAGAGGATACTTTGAATTTTTTACCCGCACTTGCCGCACCGCCGCCATGATGAGTTTATCTACCGTGAATGTAGGCCAAAACGAGGACGGACGCAACAATGCGTTGTTTGTCTGACACTACTGAAGGTTGAGTGCCATCAACGAAATCACCCTGCCTAGCCCGTCGTTCCTAAATGATTATGGTAGATTTTCGGGTCATTGGTGCTTCCCGCCGCCACCGAACGAAGGGAATCGACTGTCTTCTTGTTGATCGTTTGAAATCGGAATATTTCCAGGAGGAGATCAGCGCATATGTATGCACTTGTAGGCGATGACAACGAGAGAAGAAAAATAATCAGCAGTGTGTGCAGTCGAAGACAAATGGACGAGTGGGTCCGATAGACAGAGACAAGGAGAGAGAGCAGAGAGGGGAGGAGGACTGGTGGGAGGAGATTTGGTGTAGTAGTGTCCATCCGTCCATGGTGTCGATCGATTCAAATGCGAGAGAGTAGAGAGTGTGTGCGGCGCGGTGGCTATTAGAGAAGAAGAGTCAAATATACCTGAAACAGTGTCCATGCGTCCAGACGGAAATAACGGTGAATGTTGTGGAAGATGATGAACGAGTGAGACCGTACGGCAGCGAGAGTATAGACGGCTTGGTGGGGGGTAAAGGGAGCGATGGGAAGAGAGGTCCTGGACACGTCGTCAATCGATTAAATGTGTGCCCAACGGGCGTGCCCATCGTTTGTGATCCCAGCTTGCAATGTGAACCGAAGAGCTCCGCAGAAAGGAACTTTTATCGATAAACATGCTTTAGGAAAGAAATGTTGCGCAGTCAGGCGCCTAGAAAGGGGCGGAGGAGCGCCGAAAGAGCAGGAAAATCCGTAAAAAAAAGAAAGAAAAAGAAATGGAGCCATTTCAGATCAACGACAAATTTTAAGAAGATTAATGTTACGGCGCTGTTTTACCTGTGCCGCGACTTTAGAAAACACTGCCGATGTCCGTCAGTCACAATGATCGGTGAACAGTGACATGAATTAGAAAACTATTTGGTCCACCCTCTTGGTGCCCGTTGTCGAACGGCTCGCTTTGTTTTCATTTGAGCAGGTTATTCTCTGTGGCTCATTCCAAAAGAACCAGCGCGGTCAAACATACAAAAAGTCATTGATCACCACAGCTCGGAGCAAAAGACAGCAAACTTTCGCGCCCATGTCACCCTCATCGCTGGACTGGAACCCGAGGGCGGAGAGGCGGAAGTTATAGCGAAAGCGGAGAGTCTTGCACTCAAGTTAGGGCCAATATCTGCACGTGTGGAGCGTACCGCGTGCATGGACCTCTACTTTAAGAGCGTAAGTATTGCTGCATTGGCTGACTTCGTCAATGCTTGTGTGCATATTCCCCACCAACGTATCCGGGAATCTTTCACGCGGACGGACACATGTGTTGTTTTCGAAACTACCGCGTGGCCGCATACTGGGTCTCTCTAACCGCAAAAATGGTATTGTTCGTTAGATGGGCTAACCTATCTTTCATGCCATTCAGTCAGGGTGTTTATTGGTCTGGTAGGTTAGCCCATCCAACAAACATAACGTTTGCCGGCAGTTTGAATCTCACCAGGTGTGTCACGACTTTTTTCTACCCGAGGAAATGAGCACATTAGATAAGATGGCCGCAGGTCGGGATTGGACCCGCCAAACCACTGTGACCCTACTCAGTAGTGTTTAGCGAGGGGGGGATGAGGCGAGTAGAAGGTAGAAGACCTGGAAACCCCGGAAATAGGTGTACACCTAGCGATATGGGAACGAATCCCGACCAGCATCTCCTCGTGCGGTAGATGGGCCAACCTATGCTACCGTCTGCAAACTCACGATAGCTGAACCATTGACGGTCTGATAGGTAGGTCGGTCCATCTGTTGTAACCCACGGGCTGTTATATCTTGGTTCGGTCGATGAAATTGGTTTGGGATAAACACGTCGAACGCTGTTTGTGTTTGGCCTTTTAACCTGGGGCCTGGCGGCATGCGATTGTCACAGGTGTTCGCTCTGCTCGAACGAGACCCAGCTCTCCTCGATGCCCACAAGGTTGCCAAGGAGGCGTTTGGGCAAGATCCGAGCGACGGCAGTGACTTCATGCCCCACACGAGCCTTCTCTACGGTGATCTGCCGATGTCCACTCGCGAAGCTATTCGACAGGAGGCTAGCGTCGGCCTGGTGGATCCGGGCATTACACTAGAGTTTGAGAGCATTCAAGTGTGGTCTACAAAAGGAGTAGTACCGGAGTGGAAGCCTTTGGCTACCTTACCTATCGGGTGATCTACAGGTTTCTATCTCCCGGTAGAACACCGGGACGGCCGCTTTGTAGCTCCGCCGTTTGCCGTTGTTTTTGAACCAAGGCGCAGAAGCATGCAAGTCCGATGCTTACTTACGGCGTTTTCGTTGTCGAGAAGGCATAAGAGGGTCGACAATTTGCACGCAGCGGTTTAATCAACAGGTAGGTGGATGGGCCCGCACCGACTGATGGCCTCCGTGGCGCGCCATGCCATGCACTTCCAAAGAGGCTTCAAACATTTTTGGATTCCGTCTACCCATGTCCCACCAATCCACCAATCTATCAATCCCCCTACCGGTGTACCGGGTTTCGGAATATTGGGTTGACCAATTGTCACTTTTCTCCTTCACGACTCTACCTGCGCCCCCTCAGCGATAAACGCAACAAGACCTCAAGAGAAATACTCGTGCTCGGAACTTTCCATTGCTTCAGCGCTTTTTGCCTTTGCCCGGTCGAGAGGCCTTCTTTCTGGCTTTGGAAGCCTTTCTTCTATCTCGTCGATTTTTTGGTCCTTGGGCCAAAACATCATCCTTCGTACCAGCGCCCGGCAGCAAACCTTCGGATTTCAGATCTGCAAGGAAGCCCTCTAGGCGTTCCGCCTCTGCGGCATCTCCCAGGGGCTTCACACTAATAGCCTCCTGTGGCTCCTCACTACTGGCCGCGGAAATAGCCTCCGCCGATTCTACCCTGGGGGACTTTGCAGAATCAGCCTCTGGAGGATGATGTAAGGCCTCCGTATCAACGCTCCCTTGTGACCCATCAAGACTCGCGGGCAGAGGTACAGGGGCCTGTGGCGGTCCATTGGAGGTGATCTCTTTGGCGGGTCCCGTACCCTCCGTTGAAGTTGTCTCGTCCAACCCACTGCCAACGCCAAGGTTCGCCGAGACAGGTAAGCTGGCTTCGACATCCACCGACCCGGCGCAGTCCGAGTCCTTCGACTCCAGCACTGGGTCACACGGCTCATCTAAAACCGACGAGTCCTCCAGCGCGCTGAAGATGAAATTCAAAGCACTTCTTTCCACCTGGGTGAGTTGCGGGTGCCAGAACCTAACCAACAAAATGATTCGGTCGGACGAAGCGTCGTTCCTTGTCTCGTGCACAAAACTCGAATCAAAGGCGACCACTCTGTCCTCCTGCCACTCCCGCTTGTCGACCGTGCCAACCCTTATCCAGCAACCCCCTCCATCGGGCACTTCCAGCGGAAGGTGAGCAGTGATGAAGAAATTGGAGTTATCGGTGTGGGGCTTGATGCCTGACCTCGCGCGTTGTCTGGCAAAGAAAACTTCGTGAGAAGGGGCGCCACAATCCTCCAGTATCGCACAGGTCTTGGGGAAACGACTGCAACCTACCGAATCCCAGACACGACTCTGCAGGACCATCTTCTGCCAGCCCGGTCCATACGCCTCCGCGTCCTCCTGAGCTGCAGGGACCCATTCAGAACTATCGCCAAGATTTTCGGATGAGGGGCGGCGAAGCTCGTCCCGAATGATACGAGCGTTTTTCTCCAGTGCGGCTATCCACGGATACCGAGCGACGTTGTGCCATGGCTCCGCCTCCAAGCCTTCAATGTAGGAGGCCGCCACTTGTGACCCCTTACCCTCCCATTCCTTCCTGGTAACCTCTCCTGCCATGCCCCGTTTCCACGCATCGATCACTCGTCCCGCAGCGGTTTCCCCATACCGCCTGCAAATAGCCGGCACCATGTCATCGGCGAGCCCCATCTGGATTCTGATCCACTCCGATGTGACCGACTTCACTCCGCTGCACAATGGGGTTCGGCAGCCATGCCATGTCACCAGCGCGAATAGAGAGAGGTAACGGGAGAGAGGGAGAGGGAGAGAGAGATTTGGACGGTGTAGCAAAAAATCACCCGCGACCAAAGGGTTCTCATATCAGAAACAAACACTCTAGACACTTTCGCTGTGTTTAATTAATACTGCACATGCATGGCGTTAGCTTGGGAAGACGAAACGCGGCGTCCTCGCAACTCAAACACGATATGTCCACTTCGATGCTGTTTTTACTGACCTATTTGCCAGCTATTGATGGGAGGGAAGCATTCAACATTACACTAGACCGAAGATATCTGCGTCTTGCTCAGAGGCATAATCCAAACAGCCCACCAGCAGCCCACAGAGAATCTGCGTGAACCCAAATACTGAAGCGGTTCCCATGATTTCATAATTGATCTATTCATAGCAATCAGCAATTGCAACCCGACCCTCTTACTTTGTCGCTGCCTGTGTCATCAATACCCCACCATGTTGACCGCTCTTCGCTATACGTACTTTGAATGACGAACCAGCAGTGCCCGCCCGTACCCTGTACTCGATATAGGTAGGACAGGGCGGGGTAATGAGCTGCGGGGTAGCCGACTCAACACCTTGCAGTAGTCTTTCTGAGATGCTTTTTGCGGTGGCGAGTGCACCCGATCGTTCAAGTTTGAATCCGAGTCATCATCAACAACAACATAGAAAGCACTTCCTCCTCTGTCTGCAACGAACGGACGGCCGTCGGGATTCGTGCGCATACATCAGTATACCGTAGATGGCACAAGATACCACACCCTGGACCAACTTCCAAAGCTCGGTTGCTCCACACCACGAAGAGTGGCGGTGCCGAAAATGGTGGTGTGGGGACCGTCTCGTCGACAGCTTTCTGACAACGTCTCGCTGGGATTACGCATCCTCTTCGTCGTGGAAAACTCGAGGTTTAAAGCAGGGGGTGGGTGTGGTATCTCATGTCACACACGGTAGACCTGTCTATCATACCATACGTGCGTTTCATATCTGTTTGGTCTTTCGGTGGTCACAGAGTGTCGCAGCAGCACTTGGAAAGCTATTGCTCGCGACCTGTGTTAATGCCACGTCTTGTGTGGCTGCTGATTAAGGCCACAGGGCCATAGGACCCACGGGGATTGGAGGCGGTGAGAGTCGGAACAGAATTGCATGAGAACATCCCGCCAAGAAAGGAGGCTCTTCTTCTCGAGCATTTTATTCCTATGGCACAGCTTTTTGTTTGAAGGTGACTCCTCTCCCCGCACACCGAAGCAACGGCAACAACGAAGGTACCGCCACGGGCTGTGTCAATGCTCCGTCTTGTGTGGTGGTTGATACAGACCAGGAGGATCTAGGACGCTCAAAATTTGCGAGCCGGAGAGTGTGGGACAACCCGAAAAAAAACCGCCGCGTCTGCTGGGATCAGTTCGTATATGTTTCCCCAGGTTTTTACTCGATGATCCCTCTCCATGCACACACCCATGCAACAGCAATGACAATGGCATCCGCCACTAGCTCTGTGTATGGTTACCTTACCCCGCCAGTGCTGTCTTGGCAATCCCGGCGGTGTTGGGTGATTCGCTGAGTTCCTCTGTTTCTCCTGGTGTGAACCAAGCAACCGCGTGCGTCTGGGTGGGAGATCTACAATGCCTCGGCTTGCACTTTCTCTACAACTCCACGTGGATGGGGGCAACAATCGCCTACTTGTGGTTTTTGGGTACGAATGCCGGTGAGGCACGGCCATCTGCTGTCGGGGCACGAGCAAACCGGTGTGGTGAAGAGCGCCCTATTTGCCTTGTTCCTCGCATGCCAGTAGATCGGCAATCGGTGCTCTGTAGCCCTCGTGCTGGTCGAAAGGATGGAAAATTCAGGCGGTCTTTTATTGAAACTTGGGCCCCTGATAGATAGAGCCTGTTCTTTCCCTCCTCGGATGGAGGAAAAGAACGGTCGTGCTTCGCGCTCCGCGGCTCATGAGAAGACCGTTCTACTGCTGTCATTGAACATTGCGAAAGCGCTTGAGCTGCTTGCACGGAATTGTACGCACACACAAACTTTCCAATGGTTGGAAACACGATCGCACGGCATTTGTCAGGGAGGCACCAGCCACAAGTGTGACGCCGAATCTACAGCAGCCTCTCCACCAACAGCGGTAAATTATCTGATCGGTACTACAAGTAGTTTTACATGATGGTGCTACATGTCCGCGTACACCGCACAGCAGTAGATGGAAAAGACGCCATGCATGCTGCCCTGCTAACGCTATCCGCCGGCCGCAGTAGAAAAAGCAAGTTGTATAGTCAACCGAGATATACATCTCAACCTTCACGAGAGTTGCAGAGCGCTCCTCGTCGCCGAGGTGGGTACTGCTGTACGCGTTGCAACCAGTGTGCCAGTATCATGTGTCAGCCGATTCAAACCAATGCCGTGCTAGGTTGTCGATTACTGACTCACCTTCTGCTTTGCAGAGTGGGCGAGTAGACAAAAGCTACGCCCAAATGAGCCCATATAGCAAGAGCTACCGCCAAGCCGCGCACCGTGCATGGCCATTCCATTGTCTGGCGTGCGTGTTATGGGCATCTGTGCTGGCTGTGCGAAGAAAGTGCGGTGTGTCTCGCGGGGCTCCGTAGATCAGTCGCATACGTAGATTCTGGCGATTGATTGCGTATTGGTCAGAATTCCGAACCCAGAAATGCGGTGAAATACGCAGTCTAACAGTCTAACAGTCTAGTGATTTGTTGCCTGCAGGCTGGTGACTCCCTTCCCCTTGTAATCTCCCTAACAAGTTTTATGAGTTCGAAGACCGGCGACCTCTGGTGCCCGTTCGCCTACTTTCGTACTGCCTGTTTTTTTTACCAACACAACCTTCCTTGTTGATAGTGTTGTGTATCAAGAAATTTACAGGGGGTATATGGATTTTGATATATACGCCCCCGCTGGAATCAGATATCGATATTTCCTGATATTTGAGGAAATCTCAGAACAGGTTCGGATAGTGATGTATAGGGGGAATGCATTGGGGTATTCATTGGGATATACCCAACATCTGATATATTTGAGGTATATATTGGGGTATATTTGGGGCATATTGAAGAGATCAACACGCCCACGAGTGCAGGAGCACGTACCTGAAAAGATCAACCGGGACACACACGTAGTATCAAGAAATATTCAAATATATGCCCCGATGCATGCCCGAACAATATACGTATCTAGAAATATTCCCTATATAATCCTGATATATCGGATATGCACTTAATACATCTATTTTCTGATGTATTATATTCTGGGGTATATTGGATGTTTCCTGATATATATATATTTCCTGATACACAACACTGTTGGTATCCTTTCTCGTTACATGAAGGTTGCATCGCCCGAGGAATTCCTCCTTGTAATCCCCGAACAAGGGTCTTCCGTGTGAGAGGCTAAAATAAATATACAAGCTCTGTACACATGATAGGACGACAAAAAGCTTAAGTTCGGGACGCTGGAGAAAGTTGAGCTTTTCCGTGCGACTTTGACGCCGATAAGCAAAATATGCAGAAACCCGCAACCCAGAAACCGCCACGTGTTGTTTGTGATCTGTTCATTCCTCTGCTCTTGCAGTCTCTACATTCTGTAGGCAAAGCAGAGGCGACGCCCGGGCTTTTTAGATTCAGTTACAGCAGCCATCTGGCAAGTGCCGCCTTAAGGGAACATGCCGCAAAAGGCTTATCCAACAACCAACAACGCGACGACCCCGTATTTAGCAGTCAAACATACGCATACATGAAATCCAATAAACTCACGGATCAAGGTGGGTTGTATACCGCCATTCGGTACTCACGACAGTCCCAACCTTCCTGTAACATTGCAAAGTTTCCGCAGCCATCAACGCATTGCACAGTCAACCAGATACTAGAAAACGAGCCGCACCGGACGCGGGCGTTCCGTACGTCAACAACAAACGAAGGTGTGCGATACTGTCGCGACTACATACTGCGCACCAAAGCAACAAGCAATTTCCAACCACAACAAAGGCCATGTTGTACGTAAGCATAATGGTGAGCACCAGCCGCAAGGGTCACACGGGTCCACGTCATTCAACCGTCCTTAGCAAAGCCTTTGTGAACGTTATCGACAAGTGCAGGACCTCGTCACCTCTTCTTTGGTGCGTCTACAGGGATATCGACGACATCCAACTCGTCATCCTGGCCTGAAGGCAAAGCAAAGATGAGTGAGAAAAGCCCATAAGTTGCGGCCCCTTGTGCCATGCCTTGTGGCCCCTTGGCTCTGTTCATTAATGCGCACGAGACAAAAGGAGCAGGCAAAACGGAGTTTGAATTTTTCTCAGTCACCACATGGCAAGCGGTCGTGTACGGTCGATCGATACTGGTAAACAGTAATACTGTAGATGTAATCGACCATGAGTACTCCTTGCAGCATGAGTCGAACAGCGTCGTTTGTGCCTTCAAGGTGACCATGTACTTCAGCTTCACTCTTGGAACCATACGTACTTTCACGATTTTTTGTGTACTTTGGACTTTCGCCAAGCGATAGTCTTTTGATGCCGGTAGCAGGAACCTGGGTAACTCGGCATCTACAAAAATAAATGATCCAGGGAAGAGGACAAGGTGGGAATAACCACCCTTTTGCTCTGACAAAGTGGGTCTCGAAAAATGCTTCTTTTGCGGAGGTCATGCAAATAACCCTCAAGCAGCTTTGTGGATTGCTATGGTCCGTCCGGGACTTCCGATCCACTTTGCCGCCCTGCATTTAGGTGCACTTTTCTCGGGGTAGGGGGGGTTGTTCCGAACTTCAAAAGCACCCGTAAAAGCCCTGTCTCCAGGCGCACGAATCTAAAGTTCGTTTTTGTTTTTTTTGTGTTCGTTGACTTTTGTATTTCAAAATTACCAGAAAACTTTGTTCACAATTTGCTGGAGGGTTTACTTTTTAGAGCACAAATCTGAAACCGGATTTCAACAGCTCGTGGACTTTGCCAGGTGCCGCCTCTTTCAAAAAAAAAAAAAAATCAAGCAATGGCGAAGTTATGGCTCATAAATCATTATGGAATGGCAGTTTGTTCGCAATCTCCTGCGAGAACCAACTTCAAGATGTTAAAATAGAGTGAGGCAAATAATTCCTCTCGAAATTCCGCAGGTGGAGCCTTTTCCTGATTTTTCCTATAACCGAAATTTCATGAGATATTTGGTGATGATGTGCGTGCCGCTGTGAGAGACGAACAGCTCTCGCACGCACACACCCACCAGACATTCACCACTCAACAAAGCAGCGCACAAGTGGCCACACGGTCACACACAAGCCCCACACATGCCGCGACGCAAGAAACGAAGCACAAAGATCACGCGGAACGCAGATGGAACCATCGCGCCACGTGCTCAGGCAACAGCACCACCAGCACAACTCGTCGGTTCTGGCCATGAGTCCGATGTTTCTCCCATGGATATTGTCGAGGATGACAATGCCCGTGACGAATGCAATAGGGTATGTAGTGCTTGATGTATATGCATATCATATGCATACAAGTATACATAAAGCAGTTACAATTGGTGCAGAGCTTGAAAGCTCTGGAATATTAGGGGGTTCCGTGGTATGTTTAGAGGGTTCCATGGATCATTTTGGCCAAAAATGTTGCATTTTCTCAAAAATATAAAAACTCTGCAGCTATCGACGTAGCTCGACGAGGCGATCACGAATATCGTTGTTTCATGTTCCAACTCTTTTTTTAACAAAAGTTATCGCATAAAACAAGAAACGACAAATTGTCCCGGACGGACCACAAGTACTTCGTAATCGAGGAGACGTGAGTGCGGTGCTGACCTGTTCAAGAAGGCGCCAGCCCCACAAGCCCCCAGCACCTGGTCCCATTTGTCATTCCTGGAAAAACAACGAGACTTTGTTAAGACAAATACAACTAAATAAATGACGCATCTGATACTCGTCTGCATCAGAAGCTCGCTAGAGCTGAAGTCCGAGACACTGCCGCCTATCGGCCAGTACACCAGTGGATGAGGAAGGAGTAGCAGTGTTCTGCTCGCATTCATATTTTTCCCAACGCGCGCTACAGCAGACACGGTAAACTCAGGGGCACAGGGTTTCCGTTTCCGAACAAAATCAATAAAAGAGCGCTACAATGTGCACCGTTCGTGGATGCTTGCCACGGCTCACCAGTGTTGCAACGGAAATGTTGCGTACCTTCCCCGTATGACCGTAGATATCGATGTGAACCCGGTAAATGCGGCCGACAACTGCCCCCAGTTGCCACCCATCTCGACTGCTTTTGTCTGCACGCTTTTAAGCCAGCCCACATCCGGGACTCTTCCAAAGCTTCCACCCATGACCCCTCCGATCACACACCTGAATGCATGCACGGAGTGGAAGCAGAGAATTGCGATGAACTTCGAACATCTACCATGGATTCCAGGAGTTGCGAGAAGAAAGGTAACAAACAGATAAAGCGCGCTTGAGTTCCTGCGGAATGGAACACCACCTGGAATACCGCCAAAGGGACACGCCGTATCGGAAACATATTATTGATTACGAAGCTGTGGTACAGTATATGCTGTATCACGGAACACAACGCCCCGCATTCTCCTGTACATACCCCATGATGGTGCCTCCGATAAAAGACTGCATCGTTGTCAAGCACGCCTCCAAACAATTCTCCATTACGCCGGACGCCGTCCTTCCCGTTGTCAAGTGCGAGGTGGATGCAACAGCAGCTGCCACGGGAAACTGCCTGTTGTATCACGGAAGTGGCTTGGTGTAAGTGGCGAACCGGCAACGCCTTTGAGCATACACGCGCGCATTAGCAATGCATTAGCGCCATCCTCTTGAAACTCTTGGCGCGCTGGCGCGGTTGTGCAACAGAACCAACAATGGATGCTTCACTCATTTGTTGCAATAGTGCAATAGTCTTGTTTTCTGCTGTAATCATCGCCGCACGAACCCGCATGCACAGCACCATTTCCACAAGTCAAATGTGTTTCAAAGAATCATGAATTGTCTAACTCATTCGATCACCGCAGTAGTGGGGGGCGAGATGATACTCTTCCGCTCCACAGCAACCACCACCTGATGCACACACACTACACAACATGGTCGACGCTATACACACGTTACCAGTAGGTTGCCGAAGACAGCTCTAGTTGCAGAGGAGAGTTCAACAGCCACAACTGCTGCGTTGCCCACCATTTTGGTAGCTTAGTTGCATACAAGGAGTTGAACCAGGTGCAACTGCTGCGTTGTCCACCATCAAAGGACACATGAAGAAAATGACAGACGGTAAACCCGTTGCATGCGTCGCGGCGTAAGGGTGATACCGCCGCACCTTCGTAGTGTTTGTGTTCTTGGTGTACGAGATGTCCAGGCCAACTCATGGTGTGGTCGAACCGCAGCGCCGACTGAGTTCCTACTCCGGCCTGGCAGAGCATTGCACCCCAATGCCACAGAAAGCAGCAAGCCTTGAAGCAACAGCCGATAATACGTCATGTCCAATCAACTGACTCGCGTGATGGTGAGTGTCCGAGATGAAACAGAGATGACCTGGTATGATCTGGGCTTCATCGCGGCAAAAGGGGGGCACCGTGACACGAAGCACAAACATGAGTGAGTGAGTGCCTCCGCGTCTCGCAAGACGCTCTGCTCCGACCGTCGACCACGCACGGCACGGCAGCATAACTACATTGCGCCCGGGGTGTGCTGTCAACTGCCTCAGCTCTTCAACATGCACCGCAATCGAGCTTTCTTTAAGAAAACAAGGAAGGGCAAGATCCTTCGTGTGGTCTCGGACCACTACTTGCGGGATGACATCGGTTGCGGCTCCCTTGCTGGCAAACCAGTATCAAACGTAAGTACAAACGATTATACTATCACGGCGCCCACGTCGTGACAGCAGTGTAAGCATGGCTCGCTGTTCACTTTACAAGGGTCTACAGTTCAACATTCCTGTAAGGACGACGGCCACAACAAGCAAGCGTAGCACACAGTAATGCACAAGCACAGCACCGCTGAGCCGCTGAAGCTTTGATGGCCGTACACAGCGCCGCAAAATGACAGTCCCGCCGGACAGCAATATGGCAGTCGGCAGTTCAAATTTACAGGCGAAGGTTCGGTACTACAGCAGTGTTTTGGAGACTTAGATTTCGCCTAGAGTTGACGCGTTAGCACTAGCACCTGCTTTCACCGACCGTGCCTGGTCCTCCCTCCCTCATGTTTGGAACAGGACAATCTGGTGCAGCTTGCCCAAGAATCGGTGATGAAGAGGTTCTTGGTGAGAAACGATTACAGTCGGCGGTCCTGTGTAAGCGGTACCCTCAAAAGTGGAATGCCCTGAATAACGGTACCGACATCTTTTGGCACAAATGTATCTCTCAGTACAATCGCTACTAGGAATAGCGGCACTACCCTGAATAACGGCAACAAAACCTCTTGTCACTCCCTACCGCTATATGGGACTAGTATGTTGCAGTAGTGGCTCGCATGATCAGTATCGCGTCTGGAGCGCGCCCGTCGATACATAAGAAGGACGGCAGCGACAGACACCCTAAAACAAATTGAAAAGAGGAAAATCATATAATGTGCGGATGTTTTGTATGGTTTGGCAGAGCGTTGTCATGTTGGTATATCATTTCTGATGTCTATGAAGTACCTGCCCTCCGTTACGAAGTACACATTCTAATGCTTACGAGGATGCGGATATATTGGACTCCATTTAGAAATTCCTTGCGGTCGTGGCTCTGGCACTGGTTTAGGACGCTGAACGTTTCGCCTCGCTGCCCGCGTCTTCTGTCAGGTTCTGGACACGAACGTGGTGCTGAACCAGATGGACTTGCTCGAAAACCCAAGCCCCGCACTGTCGTGTGTGATCGTCTTGCAGACTGTGATGGAGGTAAATGGGTGTGCTACAGTTGTTTCATTACTCGCTTCGTTCGCACGACTGAAGCAGCAGCAGCATGGCAGCAACACTGGACCTTGACAAAACATGATGACACCACGGCTGCGATGCACTTCAACATTCTGTTGTACAGTGTCCCACCCTCTTCAGCATATATGCGCGCCACGTACAACTCTCATGATACCCTTGATGCACAGGAGGCCCGCCACAACAATCTGAGCCTGTTTCGTCGGCTGAAGCATCTGCTGAAAGACGATTCTCGTGTTTTCGTCTTCTTCGCGAACGAGCACCACTGCGAGACTTTCCCCGAAGAAATCAAAGGGGAGTCGCCCAACGACCGGAACGACCGGGCCATTCGTATCGCCACGTCTTGGTGAGCCGAGAGGATTATTCTTGTTTGAAGAATTGGGGTAGTCTTCCTGCTTTACGGGCCACGAGATGTCGAAAGTACCACGCTTTCCATGTGTTTCCTGTATAAATGCTTGATTCAGGGCGTATTGACGACGCGAGACATCTCTCGCAATCTCCACATGTAGCTGTGCTCCGGGAGCCTGTCACGTCGTTTCTTTCTGAACTCCACCTGTCACTGCTTGATCCCACAGGTTTTCCGAGCAGCTTGGCGACTCGATAGCTGTGGTGCTTTTGACGAACGACAGAGGTAACCTCTCACTGGCTCAGGATGCCAAGATATCAGCGATGACCATTCATGCCTACGTCGAGTCGGTGCGGGGACAGTACCCGGATTTAGCGGAACTCCTTGCTCCCGAGGAGTCATCTGCTGCAGGCGACCCAACGCAGAGAACAGGAGGCCAGCGGGTTCTTCTGTTTGAAGAGCACAAACCCATGTCTGAACTCACGGCAGGAATTCGACAAGGCCGGTAAGTTGCTTGCTTAATATCCGCCCTCTCTTTGCGAAGTAACGAGATGCTGGTGTGTACGGTTAAAGTACGCCGTACCTTGGTGTGTCCTCCATCGTTCCGCGTATTGCTATGGCTGACCCCATACAGGTACTTTCAGGGGGCTCTGCGAGCGGAGCGGAGCAGCTCGAATCGGTGCTATGTCGTTGCGCAGGGTATGCAGGTGCGTGGCAATGTTGAGGCATACGCGATGTGAGTCTGTAGTAGCAAGCGGGCCTGCAATGTACCCCGTTATGTCTACCAGAAAATGCCACCGCCTTGCTGGTAGGGAGTTGTCGCTCTTGGTGTACAGCCAACTACCCAAGATCACAATGCTGTTAGTGCTCTCTGTGGACCCTTTTTTCTCGCTAGGGCAGATTTAAATCATATTATTCGTACCATTGTAAAAAGATGTAATGAAGTAGCATAGCCGGTGTAACCCCGGCGGAGAATACACCCCCCCGACTAGGATATAAACTGCGCCATTTTGATGCTGTCTAGATTGGGATGGCGTGCCGAACGACAGTGATCGGCTCTAATGATAGATACAGCTTTTTCGTTGTTTTGTAAATCTCCGTGCCCGATATGCCACCAGTGACGTCTGAGTACTGTCTGGCTCGGCCCTTGTACTCTCATTTCTTTTTTGCGCTCAACTATTGCGTCTGCCATTTTTTTTTCCTATCATTTTCTCTTCATTGGGGTTCTGTAGAAGTGTGTAGCTGTTTCGGTCGCAGTTGGCCTGTGACAACGGAAGGCGTCCGCGTTAGTTGGACCGGTACGGATATTACAACGTACTGAGCAGAGACCGGATCGGTGTTCATAGTAAAGGCAACAACAAAAACAACAATGGCGCCTTTTTCAGACATCGTAAGCTCAGCGACTCATTTCAAGTGCAAGAGCTGTTTTGTTTGCCTCGACCAGCACCAGAACGGAACCGCGCATCATCAGAATCATTGTTGATGACACCAAATACTCTCTTTCTCTCTCTTT